TACATAGTCTAAAATAGGTCGTGAAAGAATTTGTTTTGCGTTCATGTGCCCTTCTAATAAACATTATCAGATTTAGTGAGGCAATTTAACACCATTATCATGGTTAAATTGTAAATCTGTTGTATGTTTGTGTGTCTGTGTGTGTGTGTGTGTGAGAGTTTTACAGTAATTAATTGCCAGAGTAATATTTTATGTGTTTAAATTTGTCTTATGATCGCAAAATTATCCATCCACTATTGTACAAATTCACTTCTTTTGAATTGTTCATTCTGTCCTTTTAACTGTAATGAAAGCAGTAGCAAAATCCATCTTGGATATTCGCTTCTCGGCCTTTTGCAAATAAATTAACAAATACCAAAAAGAAAAGCAAGGCAAAAAAATTATTAAACAATACAAATAATAAATTAATGTCTTCAAATCATTGTGTAATTGAAATAAACCCCAAACAAATGATGGTCATAATTCTAGGTGTATGCATCAAGATAGAATTCTTTATGATTCTACTGCAAAAGAACTCACTAATCAACAATCAGGAGAAGACAACAAAAAGATAAGGATAAAATTAAAATACAACAACAACAATAAAAATGTTAATAACAATTTTATTATTATTATTATTATTATTATTATTATTATTATTATTATTATCATCATCATCATCATCATCATCATTACCATAATTATTATTATTATTATTATTATCATTATTATAATTATTATTATTATAATTATTATTATCATTATTATTATTATTATTATTATTATTATTATTATTATTATTATTATTATTATTATTATTATTATTATTATTATTATTATTCCCGTTTTATTATATTTACCTTGGTAATTTCACATATCTTAGAAGTTACATTCTTTTCCTTCTGCATTCTCTGTACATAATCGGCTCATCAAGCTTTATTTTTTTAAACTTGAGTTATTCTAATATTTATATTTGACATACGAATTTTTGTTCACGTTATTACAGAAATGGAAAGCAGGCGGGAAAATGTTTAGAAAACTACAAATTAAAAAAAAAAATTGGACAATCAATGTCAAGGCGTTTCCAGTTGATATTGTACCGAATTCTAACGCCTTGACTTCGGTAATATTGGGCCTGGCTTTTGCCTCGGGTTACTGATATTGTCCTGAGAAGAAAAACGGTGTCAACAATCATTAGTCGGAGAATGAGCACACCCTGAAATTTCAAGTTAATAAACACGTACTTTTCACGTCATCTATAAATTCTCACCCTCGTTACAATACAATTATCCAGCCTTCCAATTTTCGTCGCCAAGCTTTAGCAATTTGTTTGCCAATAAATCACATTATGTGTCAAATTTTGTTTGTTTTTTTTTAAACAGCGAAAACATACTTGTCGCATTTTAATATTAAATTGATTGCTTTTCTTAATTCTTGTACTTTACTTTAGGATGAGTCAACATTCATGAGTTGTCGATTATTGGTAAAAACAGGTTATCGAGATGCATTAGCAAATATGGAAGGTATTTTAATTTCCAATATAATGTATTGTATTGACTGCACTTTAAAAGTTCATATTTCTTTTAGTATACTAGTCATTACACTTTGAAAATCTTAGTTCTTTAAAGTTCTGATTTCAGACGAATTAATATGATGTTGTGAAAACTGCGGTCACCTTTATATAGCATACATTTAAGTTAGGTACATTGAATTTCTCATTCACATAATGTTCTCATCATATCCCCCACCCCCATATATATATATATATATATATATATATATATATATATATATATATATATATATATATATATATATATATATATATATATATATATATATATATATATATATATATATATATATATATATATATATATATATATATATATAACCTTCTATCCTTCAGCATTCATGTCTACTAGAGATGTGGCAACAATGAAGATAAATTAAAGAAAAAAATCTTGCATCACATTTGGGGAAAGCGCCAGAATCATAGTAGATCATTATAACAGACTATTTCTTGTTACTTAACAAAATTTTAATTTTTGATTTCATCCCATTTTGCTATTTCAACATTTAATTCAAGAATTTAAGAGACTGTACAATATACACAGTTTTGTCAGTTTGATTATTTTCATAATAAGGCATGTTCCCTTAAGCTTTTTGATTTATAAGAAATTTGGTTATTGAAACGAAATGGGCGTTCGCTGATGACTGTCTGCAGTGTCAGTGGCTTAAAGAAGCGAACTAATAAAAGGGAAACAAAAAGAGTGTTCGTGGAAGAGAAATAGAGTTATTCAAACTGAGATTTAATCATACACCCTTAAGGTATTAGTTTTGAAGCAAATTGAAATCAAATGAGGTGTAATGCGGAATTAGATCCGACAATTTATCTGCCTACTTTCATGGATGGGTCAAGGGAGTTTCCTTGCCGTAAGCCGCACTTTTACTTTCAAAATACAAATAATTAACCTTGGGTGAAAAGAAAAGACGATTATTATAGATCACGTTCTACTGTGAAAGAAAACAATGGATTGCTGATGGTAAGTTCACTTGACCAAGAGTCGTTCAAATTATTAATTCTAGAGTCTACACAGGCTCATGTCGCAACTGAAGGTTTTTGACTATATATATATATATATATATATATATATATATATATATATATATATATATATATATATATATATATATATATATATATATATATATATATAGTCAAAAACCTTAAAATTGCTATTTCAGAGTCGAACAAAAAATGGTAAATTTGCTCTTGAACTAATGGAACAAATCAGACATATTTCTAAAACAATAAGAAGAAAAAATCGTTCGAATTGTCAGTGTGTTTACAAATCATAGCAGTGTGACATGGTCAATTATGTCCATTAAATAAGTGTTTTAACGCCTGTACCCCCCCATAATCCACAGAAATAACGGTAATTTAGTCATCTGTTGACCGATAGCCGTCGCGCGTGCCAGAATTTGGCACGTGCCAAGTGAAAATGGAGGAAATATGCCGTAGGCTGGGAGCATACTTTACAGAGAGAAACACTAGGAATAGAATACCATTAGTTGCACACATGACTATGGCGGCCAATATATATATAATGGGTCGTTCTCTGACAACGTCAAGGATTCAAAAAAAATTTTATTTTCGCTTTAACCCAATATATTGTTACTTTTTTAATAATTTTTTTTGTATGTTAAAGAGTTTGTATCAAAATCTCGCTTTGATACAAGCAACGGCAAATACATCATGTATTAGTACCAACACCACTGATTAACATTTGACATAATTGTAGCTAGTCCACGCCAACCAATTTCTGGAGTATTATCCTATTGTACTGCTATAGCAGATCTTTTCTTTTTTATTTTTGTTATGATTGACTTAAAAAGCCTGGTAAAGTAAGAAATTCAAATGATTTTTTGATAAGTTCTCTAAAGCTCACATATATTGTACAAACGTGTGATATTATTATATTCATAAACAAAATTCATTTGTTGTGTATGCACAACTTAAAAATACGCTTCTTTTACATGAAAAATTATTCGGCTATCTCCGTAAACTTTCGGTAGTTTTCCCGTGCCAAAAACGGATATGACATACATTTATCAGGGGCTCCGAGTGGCCGAGTAGTCTAAAGCGTTGTCCGTTACGGATCACTGCCATCTCACCTCTGTCTGCGTGGGTTCGAGTCTAGGATTCGGCGAATGTGGATATGTGAGAAAGCTTGCCAGTAGCTTCTCGTGGGTCGGTGGTTCTTTCCGTGGATTTCCCGGTTTCTTCCTCCACAATTAATACTGGCCGCCATAAATAGCCTATCGTGTGCTGAAAATGGCGTTAAGCACAACATCAACATACATTTATCCTTACTATTTAACCTAGCCATTTAAGGTTGTAGTTTTCCCACTTAAATGTCTGTGTTATATATCTTAGAATCATGCTTTTGTAAAACAAATATGTTTCACGTGTTGCATATGGATGTAACCCAATGAGTGATGATGGAAAAGAAGTTCTTTCTTTTCCGAAAGACACTGTCTACCAGAAGAAAAAAAATTGAATCCATGCTGTGGGATCGTACAGGGTGAGGGATGGGAAAGTTGCATCATTTATGCCGGATTCAATTTGGCCCAAAGTCAATTCGACCCAAGAAAATTCGGCCTAACTCGAAAGATAATTCAACCCAACATTAACAATAGTTTGAACAAGTTCCTTTTCTTCAAACAAGTTGGTGCCATGTAATATAGGATTTAGAAATAGGTTTCAGGAAAAAAATTAAACGGACTATCTTGATATTCTTTCGAATGTGTGTGGGTGTACGTGTGTGCGTGTGTGTGTAATCATTCTCTGTATGCATCTGAGTTTGCGTGTATGTGTTTTTGATAATTATGTGTAGACCATATTATAAATAATCACTTTGACCTAACAGCAATAGAGAAGATAAAATAGAATTAACATAATTCCGATCGACCAAATTATGATGCATCTGAACTGAAATGAGTATAATTGTTGTATAAAGCAACAACAACAACAACAACAACATCACACACATCCCAATTAAAACCAACAAAAGAAACAAAACAACAATAACATTGATTAAATAATACCTTTTGGCATATCGTAAAGTTAGGACTTAAAAATAAAAAATACCTTTTCCAGTAGGAAGGGTAATATTATAACAGTCGTGTTTATCAAATATGTTGCAGTGCGAAAAAAATTAGGGTAACACGGAGTGCATATTCATAAATGTTATTTAAAAATTCTTTTCAAGTATCATGGGTTCTGAGTACGTGTGATCTGTGATTTTAAAATACATTAAATTGTCTGTCCTATGATGTATAAGAAACAAATAATAAGAAATAAGGCAACAAGAGACAACAGACATTAATAAATGTTCAGAACAAACTCTCGCATTGCAACAAAATGTTAGGACTTCACAAAAACCGTACAACAGATGATTATATACGAAAAAGATTCTAGGTTTGAAATTAAAGTTTGTTAAATATTGTAAGGGACCGCTCCAGTGACCTAGTGGTTAGAGCGTTCGCCTTGGAAGCAGGAGGTCGCAGGTTCGAACCCATGCCGAGTCATACAAAAAACTTATATTAAAAAATGGTACTAACAGCTGCCTCACTAGGCTCTCATCACTAGGAGATTAGTGTTAGAACTGGTCGGACTGGTCTCAGGATAACCTGAGATAGTCCGGAGTTTCCTTCACAGGGACTGGTCTGTCTCGATATAATTAGATTATACAATTACCATTCAATTAGGATTGGGTAAATTGGTTGTATTGAATTATTTATGAACGAACATTGTATTAATGTTTCCATTAAGAGAATAAAGATTAACCATATCGTTCATGGTGTGTGTGTGTGTGTGTGTGTGTGTGTGATATAGATTTTTAACATAACAATTTTTCAGTCATATCGCTATGATGTCTGCAGTGTGACAGTTTATAGTGATGTTTAGCAATGGGGCATAATGCCGAAGACAGGTAGCATGATGTTCCACCCAGTCACATTATCCTGACACTAGGCCAACCAGTCCTAACATTAACCTCGTAAAGCTGAGCTCCAAGAGAGGCAGCTGTTAGTACTATCTTTGTAAGTCTTTGGTATGACTTAGCCGGAGTTCGAACACGCGACCACCCGCATCGGAGGCGAACGCTCTACCACAAGACCACTGGATCAGTGATCGTTCATGGTACAATTTTAAATTGGTGTAATGCTAGAAATCACAATTGTCTATGCCTACCTAAGATAGCCTTTGATAAAGCTGGCTAAGATGTGAATATAGGTACATGTAATAAATACACTTACTATACGTTACACTGAATGCGCTAATTCGTGGTGTCACCACATGGACTTCCTTCCAGCACAAAATTCAAATATTGTATAGACAGTCATTTTAGAGTCACGCCATCTCATGGTGTCACCCGGTGGGGTCCGCACTCCCACCCCCACCATCACTCCCCCCCCCGTGACGCCGCTGAGTGTTATAATCTGTTCAGGGGAGGTGGGGTGGGTCTGAGAGTGATTGCGTTGACAATATTTTAAAAACTGGCACCAACCAAAATGCCACGTGAGCTGTCATTTAATCGCAATCAATATGTGACACTCAGTACGAGTACATACTCTTTATCACTCGAGGAGTGGGCACTTGTATCAAGTTGTGTATGCGATGTATGTGCAACTACTCGGATACAGTGCTGAAATACTACGTCAGCATTATGGATAATGGCAAAGTCCACCTGCCAGTCCACTAGTCTGGTTCCCTGACCTCTCTCCACTACGTTGCTCTTCGTTATGAGAGAGGTCAGGGAACAAGACTACCAGTCCACATGAATAATGACAAACAATGCATTGCAAAGTAATGCAAAGCAGTGAAATGCAATACAAAGCAATGCAGGGCAACGCAAAGCAGTGAAGTGCAGTGCCTCGCAGCTCAGCTCAGGACAGGAAAGTATAGTACAGTAGAGTACAGTACAGTACAGTGCAGTGCAGTGCAGTGCAGTGCAGTACAGTACAGTTAGTGCTGTACAGTTGGCGCAGTACAGTAAAGCACAGCGGAGTAAAAAATGAAATGATCATTAAACTAAAAGTTTGTTGGAAGGAAAGACTATATATTTGTTCCATTGCTATGATTTTAGTTTGCGTTCCATGTCAGAAGATACATGTCCGTTATTCTATAATCTATACAATTGATGGTCCATTGCATTTAGGAAAATATTGCGTGTACAAACTCTTTCCAATACATTAATCTGCGATTATTTTTCTTGTTTCGCACCATAGGCTGCTCCAATATTTAATGTTATTCAATTACACTTTAAGTGATCAGTGGCTATTATGGATTTTCCATAAAGCATGTATAACAGGGTACCCATTTTACATGTAAAACTGGGTACCCATTTTACGTTTATAAATCCATCTTACATAATCTGTACGAATTCTCTCAACGATTTCCCTCTTTTCAAAGCCCCAAATTTCGGACCATGTTGTAGCATGTGTTTATGGTATTATCAGATTTAGCTTGCAATCTTTGGGTAGGTAAGTCAAGATATCATATACACTTTTTCAAAACCAAACAATAATGCTTTCTTGGCTAGTGATATTGTTTGCTTTATTTTTTCTTGGCTTGTGAAATTGTTTGCTTTATAGCTTTGAGAAATCGACAGATTAGGTCAGGCCAATCGTACCGCAATTTTAGGTCAGGTATATTTATATGATCAGGCCACGAAAGGGAGGTGAATTTACGAGAAGAGGGTTGGGTTATGAGATGGAGGTGGGTGAGCATGTTGTGTCGAGGAGCGAGTTTAATCTTCTAAACTTAGATTCGGAAGCAAGTTTGGTATATAATGAAAAGTTTCTTTTCACATATACCGGATATATTTCATCGAGTGGTACCAAAATACCATATTATATTTTAACTCGTGGCTTCGTTAAAGCATTTTTGTTTGGACCACACGATGAAATATATCCGGTATTAACATAGTAAAAGAAAATATCCTTCATATACGATTTGCTTGACATGAAGCGAAAAGAACCAACATAGTTGTGACTGATGAAATAAACCCACGTGGACGTGAATGCACATGACAATATCACATATGTGCCTTCTGTTTATTTTCCTTTTTTTCCCTAGATTTCAAGATATTTTCATGACTTTTTGATCTGATGGTTCTCCAAAGCAAACTATATTTACTTTATTTATCAGACATAAGTCATGTCCAATAAACGTTAGGATATTGTCAAAGCATTTGTCTGTTATTCCAATTTCCCTGAGACATCTGTTTTTAAAAGATCAGAAGCACAAAGACCCTATAATCTCCAGACACAGGTATACAACATAATACTTCCGTATTGGAGAAGAACCACGTTTTCCAAGAAGTCGGTCAAATTGGTCAGATTTCACAGCAAACTTACTCATGTTATATCAAATTTTTAGAAGGAACGACTCATATGAGTGACAATGGGTTGCCTAGTAACAAATTGTTTCGTATGAACGATAATTACACACACTCCATTTCACAAAAATACCTGTTGGTTTCACGTGCTGACAAAAATAGAAACAAGTTCGAAGTGCTTGAAGTACATTCCCAATACGGCTCCAACGGTAATAGCAATAAAGAGGTTGATGCAAAGAATCGAAATCAATCCCAAATATTTCGAGGCATCGGAAATGTGAAATATCCAAAGTGTTTCGAAGATGCTTAATGCGCAATATTTTACAGATTTGTGTCGATTCATTTCAAAACATGGAGAACCATTTAACGACAGTTCAGCTTTTTGAGTGGCAAAGGATCAAGAGGACTATCAAAATGGTCACACCAGCAATTTTTAAATTTTCCAAATAAATCGGAAAGAAAGTCAGAACACATCTTTAGTAAAAAGTCTTTAGGCGGCTATTGTACAAAAAACCCTAATTTTTGGACTATTCTTGTTCCTTTATATTTTATCAAATAAAATGCAGATGCAGACTTTATTTGCTTTTTATCGTTTTCATATATTCTATACCAAAATTTGATTAAGAGAGCCTACAAAACTTAATGATTCTGCAGCTCACTCTCGTATTGTTTTCATGCAAATGATGGATAAGCTAGTTTTGAATAAAACATGTAAACCCAAATGATTTTACCCACAGTAAAAAGAAATATGTTATCAATGTAAATTTAAGACTCGACGAATCCTGTGAGTCGAATGGAAGTATACATACATAAAAACGATATGAATATGGACTGTTTTTGAAAACAGGCATGTGTCTATGTATGTAAATAAGTAACTCTCTCTCTCTCTCTCTCTCTCTCTCTCTCTCTCTCTCTCTCTCTCTCTCTCTCTCTCTCTCTCTCTCTCTCTCTCTCTGCATTATTTACATTTATTGGCGAAACAATGAACGGCATACAAATTAAATGTAATAATATGTAATAGTATTACAAAAATACAGTTACATGATTAAACTTTGTGTTTTTACAACATGTTTATACAATCTTTGTTTAGGTCTTTCTCTTGTCGTTCTCTGGTATCCATGCCTGACCAACTGTATTTTTTTTACAGAGAAGTTTTTGTATCTCATAATGTTATATTGTTGTTAAATATTTATTGTAAACATGCCAAGTAGATATTTAGGTATTTCATTGCATACTTTGATTCACATTATGAAAAAACTATTCACTAGAATTTAGATTTAGAACAAAAATAATGCATATAACAAAGGGTATTGTTAGATGTTTTATTTTTAAAAAATATAAACTATAATACATATCAAATAACCAAGACACACATTGTTAGCTACGATGTCAATTTACACAGGTTTCCATTTTCGATTAAAATTGAATATTTTTTTTTATTCTTTCTAAGTAATTTACATAGTTATACCTTTCACTAATTGTATTATGAGATAGAAACAGCTATACATGTATATGCAAATTATGCGATTCTCTAGACTGTGTTACTATATTAAATAAAAATTGTGGACTCGTCAATTCGTAAAGCGGGATAATTCTTGTCACAGCAATGCGCACATTTCTTTAGTGGTTTCATCCCTTTGTATATCCACTTACATATAGTTAGCAGTCTCGTGGAATTATATTTTTGACGTTTTACTTGATAACATAGTTTGTGTAATCTAAAGAACACAAACAATAAACAAATGACGAACTAATATGATTTTCCAGCAGACAGGAGTGCTCAGGATAGGTCACTGGGGAAGTCACTCTCTACTTAAGGGCCAAGGCCGGTGTCTTGGTTCTTTTTCGCCAATAAGTTCCTATTTTTACTTGTATGTTGCCAGTTTTTATGAGGAGCTTATAGAGACACCGGGAAGCAAGAAAGTAACGGACTTAATTTATAATAATGAAAGTGCAATGCATCATGCTTGATGGCATCGCTCAGATTATTGAGCATAATTTAAATAAATATGCGTAATTATGGTTATGAAGGAAAGAAGGATGACGCGGCGAAAAGTATATAGGCGTAATGCAGCAACTGAATAAAACCAGTAAATTCAAGTAATTGAAAAAAAATGACATATTTTATAAAAGTTATGATTTCATTTTAGAGCTATTTTTTTCTTCAGTAAAATCATTCTAAGTTTGTCCTTGCGGTACAAAGACAAATTCACAATGACAAACGACACATGCATGGTGTTATACTTCTTGTAGTGCCAAATAATTAAAATTAGTCTAAGACATTGACTCAGTTGTGTTTGTAATGAACTTGAACTTTGTTCCACATTTAATATCATTTTAATCAGTGAAAGAACTGTTCATAGATTTATGCATGATGGCATTTGAAAGCCAAACTGATATTTATACTATAATTTTTCATATCAAGACGCGTCGTTCATTACTTATCGTGTTACCTCTCACGCTGCCTAGTGGTTAGAGCGCCCGCCACGGATGTAGGAGGTCGCGAGTTAAAAAAAACCCGGCCAAGTCATTCCAAAGACTTATACAACTGGTACTAACAGCTGCCTCGCTAGGCGTTCGGCATTAAGAGGCTAGTGTTGAAACTGGTCGACTTGGTGTCAGGATAATGTGTTACTCGGTGGGATATGATTATTTTTATATATATATATATATATATATATATATATATATATATATATATATATATATATATATATATATATATATATATATATATATATATGCGGCATGATTCGACAGTACTGGACATCGCTATAAACTGCCACACAACATACATCGTAGCGATATGACAAAAATTGTTAAAGCTATGTTAAAAGAGCACTTTTGACATCATGCCTCAGACATGTAGTATGATACTAACACTAACCTCATTATGCTGAGCGCCAAGTTAGGCAGCTGTAAGTACCATTTTTGTATGTCTTTGGTATGACTCGGCCAGGGCTCGAACCCGCGACCTTGCGCATCCGAGGCGAACGCTCTAAACACTAGGTCACCGGAGCGGCCCAGCTATAGTGCCAAATAAAAATACATCCATGGACATTGGATATGCTTTAAAAGGCAAAGAAGAATCCATTTTGGTGCCAGTAATGGAAATATCATTAGAAAGGATACATTTCAGTATTAATAAGGGGGTTGGGGTGGGTGGGGCGACATTAACGGTAAACAGCGTTTCATGTATATCAGTCTCATATATGACAAATTTACAAATTTAAGATAAGGGAAATATTTTTTACCTTTGATTTCATTCTGACATATTTTGTCTGATTGAAATATATAACTTTTGACTATTATAACATTATATTATAAATTTCTTTGTTTGTTTGTGTGTGCATGTGTATGAGAGAGAGAGAGAGAGAGAGAGAGAGAGAGAGAGAGAGAGAGAGAGAGAGAGAGAGAGAGAGAGAGAGAGAGAGAGAGAGAGAGAGAGAGAGAGAGAGAGAGAGAGAGAGAGAGAGAGAGAGAGAGAGAGAGATATGTTAATGGGATTATCACGCCGGACCCTTACAAATTTTCAACAAAAAAAAAAATAAAAAAATACATTCCTAAACTGTAATCCAGTGCTAGATATAAAAGGATAATCGTTAAGGTGTTTCATTTTGTCTGTCGGATATTTTCGGATATTCGTAAATGACCAAGGTTAATTAGAAAATATTGTAAATATTTATCTTTAGCTTTCACCATCGATTGTCTTATGAATTTCTTTCATATCTGAGTACATTATTTGGAAGGCAACATAACGAAATTGTTAGCATCCAAGATATTGTATATTTCCTTCTGAAAAGAAAATTGATTAGGGCATCGACATCCCAAAATCCACCGATTTTAGACTTCAGCTGCTAGTGAAACTGCGTGTGAAATTAAGAAAGTATCAGCGTTTACTTATATATCAGTACATTGTTTTTTAAGTTGTACTTGTTAGATATATTTTTATATGGCCAAATTCCATTCAGTAGCATGTTATGTTTATTATTCACTTCTTATTCAATACATCTTTCATTTTCCAATTCATTTGTCCAAGTCCATTTCTGTTTTTCATTTCCATTGCCATTTCAATTTCCATTCTACAAGGGATTCAAACTGAATCAGGTATTTTATTTCAGCAGATGCTTTTTGCAGCATCAAACGTTTGACGTACTTGCTACACGAAGAATTGGCGGCGAAATGAAAATTGCATCGTTTTAGAGAAAACAATGCTTTTTGTATTGCTATAATGTCAACTCAATCTCATAAATTCATGTAACTTTTATTACGAAAAAGTACAGATGCTTTTTGAAAATATGTTTCTCTGGTAAGAGCTATATATATCTATATCTATATCTATATATATATATATATCTATCGAATTATTTCAGTGTTTTTAATGAATGTGGAAAGCAGAAGTTAGAATGTGACCTTTCATTGATAGTTGTTTGTTTCCTTTTTCAGTCATAAATTGTTGGCCAGCGCATTTAAACGTTCTGGAAAACTGTCAGTTTCTTGCCTGTATTTGGATAGCATGGTAAGTCAGTCAGTTGTTCTTTGTGTCATCGCGACTTTTGTTTAAGTAGCAACCTCATTTTGTCTGAAATCAGCTGTTTATCGTCATTTCTTGGCTTCCTAAGCCACTGATCTTTGATGGTATAAATAAATGTTCCTCAAAATTAATTTGACAGCTAGATTGACTACAAAGTTAAATGCGTCAGGCGTGAAATTTACATCCCAAGCTGCGTGCGGCATTAATTGATCACTGCAGTCCTTGACTTTTCATCTAAAATGAAAATCAAAGGAAAGAAGGCATATAAATTGTTTATGTTCACACGCTGTTAAACGGATGCTTTCCGATTTAGTAACACAAGGTTATGCAAAGACAATTGTAAATTTCATCTGACGCAAGAGTGCTCTCGAAAGGAACCAGCCATGAAAATAACGAAACCCTACAAGTTTTCAAAGACCAGTCTATCTTAAAAGTGTATGAATAATTTTAGGGTGTGGAGAAAATGATTCTCAAGTGCATGTTTCTACTGCTTTTGGACAAATTACGGATGCAACGAAGGGCTCTTCCAATTTTTAAAACTTTGAGAATTGTTTTGATTAAATCCAATAATTGCAACATCTGGGTCATTGTCATGTGTGAAATCGTTTGTTCCTCCCACGAAAACTGTTATCTTTGTCGAAGAAAAGCCCTGTATTGAAATTCAACGACAATAATAGTGAAATAAATACACCAATCCCTCAAACATGAGAGTGGCTTTGAATACCTCCGGCAATGTAATAACACAAAAGGCATATTCACGATCGAGATATAAAGTATTCCAAGATATTTAAATCACATCTAGTCAATTCAAATGCAAAAAAAGGTAGCGACCAAAGACTTTAGAAATTTATTTGCAGACTGGTAATTGCACTGAAAAAAGAGATACTGAAGATATTTTTAAAATATCCGTTGTAGGCATAATGTATTTAAAATTCTTTTTTTAAATCAAGAAAAATCTAGATAATGCATTTGTTATCACCATTTGCTTCTCCTTTTAATTCTAGATTTTAAAACATGTCTTATATAATTCGCCATTTCACAAAACTGAGTCGTTTTTCCCTCGACAAAACGCGATCAAATGGTGTTTTCATAAATGAATGTATTTGCTTAATTATTTATATTTATAAAAAGATGCAGTGCCATAAATAAAACGTTTCCTAAATATCCATATTAAACAAGCACAATATTGCCTCTTAAATATCCATATTAAACAAGCACAATATTGCCTCTTAAATATCCATATTAAACAAGCACAATATTGCCTCTTTGACCTTACAAATGGTAAAATAAAATATCGCATTAAGATATATAAGGCAAATGCGTAATATCCGAGGCATCCGAATGTACTTGTAATTAATTTTATACAAAAGACTATTTAGCTGTTAGGTGAACTTCTAAGGATTTTTAATGTGCTTGCCTAAATTCAACTTGTATCTGTTTTTGAGACTGTATATGTGACGAAGATTCGTTTGTAAAAAAATTTCGTATCCTGCTTTTTAATTAAGATTATTGGTGGATCTGTGCTATTAATCGAATAAAGTCGATACAATTATAGATGAAGGCAGTTTAAAATATAATAGTACATGTAAATTGACAAATAAATATATCAAGACATAAATACAGTGAACATGTATAACAAGGACACACGTGAAGCACGCAAAGCCATGTTAACGGTACATGTTTGGTTTTTGCGCTGAGTGAGGTGTTAGTGGCGATCGTCGCAAGCATTAAGATGCGTTTGTATGAGCAAAATACTTTTAAATGAGGCAATCGTGAGCGCACGCATTCAAATGGTGTGTGTGTATTTACACTTAACTTTCAAATAGAAATCACGGATTGTATTGTGTCGGAACTCCACCAGAAACACGTTTAATTTCGGTCACTTTCTTGGTTTTGTTAACCATGGTTATATTCCAGGAATGTTCCATTTTTGTCAGTTGTTTGAGAAAATAAAAATTGCAGAATTTCAAGCGTAATGTCAGTATAGAATTTTTTATTAAATAAAAGTTTCGAATCTGTTTTCTTTGTATGACAACAGAGGCTTGAGTAGAACTGTTCCGTAGGATCCCCAAACTTTTCAAAAGAAAAGTGCCTTTCACGTTTAAGATGGAAAGTTTAAACTTTGACATATGTTCGTGGATAAGTACAACGGCTTCAGTAGTTCAGTCCAACTCCTTGAATTCATGTATACTATTGGGAATAATGGTAGGGGTGCGTATACTGTCGGGAAGGGGTAGGAGATAATGCTGCTTTCTAGTGCACGTCTAGTTTTATCTTATGGTCACATTGAAATGAAACGTTTTAGAAAATTGTACCTGTTAAAGTTGCTTCTTGGTTGTGTTATGATACCATAACCGTTTAAATTTTTATTGACATTTACAACGCTTATTTGTTGCAATATGTTTTATTCTTTCAAATTCAAAGTCATACTAGTCATATCACCTCAATTGTTTCACAGTTTTTATTTAATTCGCATGACCAGAATTTACTTTTAATAATACTTTGCAAAATCAAAGGGTTTAATTTCATTTGTTCTTTTTAAAAAGAATATATTTATTTAAAGGTGTTCTTTATTCAATATTTTTAAAATTATTTTTTAAAGAAGAATTAAAAACATAATATTGGTCATTTGTTTTTTTATCTCTGATTGTAAAAATTATATAATATAAAAGAGAAACAATTTTGTAGTTTAGAAACAAAAAATATAATTGAGGTGGGAGAAAACATTTTTTCATAGTACCCGATTATTGATTTAAGAGTGCAGTCACTGAGTAAAACGCCTATCGTAAATATCGAAGGTAGAGTACTTGTCTTTTTAATTAAATATATTCTTTGGACCAATTTTAAATTAATTTGGATTGCAATAAAACATTGACTGAAAATACCAAAGTCATGCTAAACGTCATTTCTCACACAAAAGTTTCCTACTCAAGGGCTTTCAGTAAAACATAGTTATAGAAAATCGAATTACCAAAACTTAGCTCTACTGACAGCATGATCGTACAATAAAAGTACAATTAGATGAGTTTTTCAGGCTTTTATTTTACGACCGGTTACCTAAATTCAAATTTTTGTTATTTTGTTAAAGTTACAGGTGTGATATTAGTTCTGAGTTTCATGAAAATTTGCTTGTAGAGAAATATTATATGTTAAGCAAGGTATATCAATATACTTTCTGATTTGTATGGAATATTTTTTTTTAGAAAAGATTTCAAATCTTTTTTAGAAAAGATTTCAAATCACGCAAACCTTCCAAAAGTTAGATAATGTTTCATTTCTAATATGGACGTTTTCGAATGTAAGTGGATTCGTGATTTCGGCAGACGTATCACGACAAGGTACACACGCTCTTTTAACCAATTACTCAATTTTACTTGTACAACTGTCCTGCAATAATATAAAATATCTGCCGGAGGAACATGCAGTTCTCTGACGATTATATTATCATGGGACCTAGAACCAGGTTAAAATTAAACCAAACTGATTACGC